CAGCTGGTAGAGCGAAGTGCAAGATCAATATTTTACCATTTTCCAGAAGCCTTAAAATGTTTTATTTTTTTACAACCAATTTAGATGGCTGGCATCAAAGGTGTGGGTCTTATGGCAGAAGGTATAGCCTCCTGGAGCAGTCACTGAGTCAGACTTCAAAAAAGTGTAACAGGTGTCCTTCTCAGCTCACTCCATTAAAGACCGTCACTGTAGCTGTGTTTCTGAAACCGGCCCATACGTCACCTGATGGCACCTATTGCCTCTGACAGCAGCTGGAGTCATGCTGTGGTCAACACTCACGCAACCAATCTTTGTTAAGACCCCATTAAAAAAAAGAAAGAGCTTTTGTACCACCAGCTTTCACAGCCTTGATTCGAGGAGCTAATGGGCCATTTTTATTAGTAGTGCCAGGGTAAAATATCTTACCTGCTGTGCAAGAGCATTGAAAAAAAAAAAAAAATCCTTCGATCTCAAGTGCTGCTTTATTTCTTTAAGACTCCAGAAGGCCAATGGATGAATTAATGAGTTTTTATTTATTTTGATTACTAAAAAGGGAGATAAAGAAAATTAAAGTTTAACAGTTAAAAAAAATCTTCAAAGGAAAATTGACCAAATAAAGGAAAGTGTATCCAACAGATTTGGAAAAGGCATAAATTGTATCAGTAAAGAGTATTTTAAAGTTCTATTTAAGCCATTCTGAAATTAATGACTTTGATAATTGCCTGTGATTACTTTACAACACTGTTGTTTGAAATTATTCCTGTCCTTTTCCTGCCCTTTATTTTTCTCTGTCTTTAAATTGTATATATATATATATATATATATATATAAATATCCCTCCATAACATACAGGTTTGCAATATCACTCAGGAATATCACTCAGAATATTATAGCTCCTCATCTCCTCTCCAGTAGAAAGCTGTACTTGTTCATCCTGCCCTTGCTTTCCAGTCTAACACCCTTGATCAAAGCGGGGTGCCCCCTCCCTCCATGGAAGCCTTTAAATCCATTCCAGACCTGTTTTTAGTCATGAAAAATTCAGCGTCTGCCAGCACTTTCGCATGTAAACTGGACTGTTGTTCAAGGCTCAGAAGCGGGGCATACAGAGATATCTGCCTACCAGCATTTCAAAGACATGATTTTAGAGAATATATTGCTTATCAATACTAAATGCACTCACTAGCTGGAAGTAGTCATTAGATTAGTGTGATACAGGGATGTCATGATTAGTAACATTAAACAGGTTAGCTATAGCATTTAAACCATAATCAGTTGTTACAGAGATACCGAAAATGCATCTACATGCATCACCCTCCCATACACAGCCGTACAGTAACAACAAGCTGACCCAGGAATATAAGGTGGGATGAATACATAGGTCAGATCACATTTGAACCCCATCATAGTTGAGTATTTTACCAATTTAAAATTTGTCATAACTTAGCGCTGTACCTCATTTCCATTAATCGTTGTTGTTGTTATCATGTATAGAAATGTAAGGAATTTTAAAAACCGAACCAATTTTTTATTATCATTGTGTTACTAGTTATTGGTCATTTCCAGATTTCTTTACAGCAAACAATAGATTGTGGAAAAGTACCTTCAAAAATTGACTAAAACAAGTTGTTCTAGGGTAGGCACACATTGACATGCGAGAAGACAGATTGTCTCCACACAGGAGACGATCTGTGGTACCAGACCAAATAAAAGTTGGTAAGAAAATAATAAAAAAGCAGACGGAGGAAATGTCAAAGAGCCAATATGACTAGCAACCTTGGAAGTACTAAAATGTACCGTATAAAGCAGACCAACATGTGAAGTTCTTTAATTTGCTCAGATTTTAAAATTATCATTTCCATCATTAGACTTTTTCTATATTGTCAAAGTAAACAGGAAATAATGTACAAATTGTGCTATATATGTAACAGTGTAACTTCCACTATTGGAGGTACACAGATTTGCACCATTTATTTATTTTTGCTTTAATAATTTTTTTTTAACTTTAAGTTTGAAAGAAGGTAAAGAAATGCAAAAGTATTGTAGTCTGTAGAGGACTTCACCACTAATATGAGTGCATCTTGGGTATTACAGTGTCATTCAATCAAGGACCTTAGGCTTAAAAGAAAAATAACTCAAAACAGATTACCTGGCAGGATAGGTTGCTTTAAGTGGAATACGGCCATGCATGAAATGAGGCCAATATGTCAAACCTAAGCCCTTTTCAAGGGATGAAAAGATCCTTTTAACTAGATTTGTCAAGCAAGTATAAATGCCTAGTGTGCTTAAAGGGCTTTTTTTTGTCATTCTTGCTTTAGTGTTTAATTTTCTAAGGACTTTTTACTTACTCGCTACGTTTAAGCACAAGAATCTTTCCTTTGTACTCTTCATTTTCTCCAAACAGTCTTGTTAATTTTATGCATAATGACATGACAGCTGCAACAAAACAAGAGAAATCAAGAGTTTGAAGAGAATTTCTTCAGTTGGAGCCCAGTTTTTTATTGTTTTGTTTTTTCTACAGAAAAAACATTGATTGCAACACGGATGACGAGTGAGTTCTGGAAAACATTGCGTTTAAACGGTCAGATTCTGAGACAAGATATTCCCCATCTGCCCCCCTTTATCAGTTTGCGTATCTATATTTTTATTTTTCAAATTGCATTCCAATGTCAATACTATTTGTAACTTTACTAATGTGAATACCAGAGCTCTGGAATGTATTTTGCCCTCAGTAAATTATTCTGTCTGGAATTAAGACCAAAACTAGATAATCCAGTATTGTTTTTTTCTTCTTCCAACACAGGGAGCAAAAGAAGAAGCTTAACCTATTTTATGTGTATAAATGCTTTTACAAGGGTTTAGTATTCAAGTTATTTTTGCATCATTTTTATTTTTAGATTTTAGTGTAATATAGACTCTTTTTTAAGTTCAACCAGTACTTTTTATCTTACCAAAGTCCGTTTTTACATTGGCATCTGCACTTTTAGTCCAGAGAAAAAAATGCAAATACTTTTTCAAGCTCTGATTTCTAGCATTATATAAATTAGAAGCCTTTAATCTATGGACATCAGTTTCAAACTCGACTTAAATGGTTATTTCAGAGAGGGCAAAATTTGGGTTTGTCAATGCTAGACAGGTACCAAGATTATTGGGCTTCATATTTGGGAGCTACTTAAGCTGAATAAATGTGAGCTACAACAGCAAAGCCTGACTGGTGCCTCATTTATATCTTAGCGGGGTCTAAAATGGCTTTTGAGAAATTGAAATTCGTGACATCTACTGTAGAAAGCAAATAGCTCCAACCATTTACCAGTTGTCCAGTATCAAGTAGCATTCTGTGTTTGAATATGTCTCTTTTACAAATAAGACACTTCATCTAAAGGGATCAACCTTTATCAATAAAGGAGTTGTTGGAAAAAACAAAACATACAAGCCAATATAGGAAATTAACTTCCCTATTAAATATCCCTGGACACCCAATCTGATACCCAGTGTTTAGGTCATCGTCTCCATTATGGCCCACAAGAAAAAGGGGAAGCAAACAGATAAGAACTGAAGTTAGAAAATCCAATCCCATTCTTCTTCAGGGGTTTGATGAAGCAATATATACCTTGATGCCAATTACAGGTGTTTGATAAACTTAAAAAAAAAATTGCTTCTCAAAGACGTAGCCAAAAAAAATGAACTGAGATTTAAAACAAAATGTTTTTTCTGAAGGGGATTTTAGTTCCTCCCTAGTTCATCCATTAATATTTCTTATTTAAGAGCCTGAGGATGGGCTGACAGGTAACTACAGTCTCTGGTTAAGGAGCCACGTTGATTACAGATCTGGTTGATGACTCTGTAGCCCATGAGTCCCCCCCCACTTACTCCTCAGAGTTCCATATGGTTACCCTTCATTAGCCTGGTTAGGACCTCCGTGTCAGTGTGTGTGTCTCATGATGTGTGAGGGAGGCCTACTTACACTGAACATCGTGCAGAGCATGTACATCTATATCTGTCCAGGATGGATGTGTTTACATCACCAAAGCCTTGGCTCACTGGGGCCATCTGGGAATCTGGCTGCCGTAATTAAATGTGATATGAAGAGCAGGATGGAAGGAGGGTTCTGTAAAAAGGAAAAGAGGTTTAGGAGATAGTAAGCGGAGGAAAATAAAAAGACGTGAGAGCCAGTGAATAAAGGATGCTTCGTCTGAGTTTTTTGGCTGAAAGATAATGTTTTGTTTCTTAGCATAAATAGAAATTCACTTAAACTGAAAATAAGTTGCCTTCTCAAAAGGTTTGTGGTTATGATTAGGGTTGCTATAATGATTATTTTGCAAATCGATTAATCTGTCAATTGTTTTGATTGAGCTTTTTACAGAATTTAAACCAGTTGAAATGAAAACTTTTCCACTTGAGGAGTTCTCTATGAAGCATATTGACAGAAAAAAATGTTTTTTTAATTTCAAATTCAAAATTGTGTATATCTTTTTATTAGTTTTTGTATAATTACTTCTATAAGTCAATTGCTCTGTCAGCTAAGGGCATGCTTTATTGTCTAGTTAATCAGTAAAATATCTGGCTATCATTTCAATAATCTCTCACAATCAATCCAATTGTTTTAACCATCAAGACTTGATCATATGCTCTATTTCATTTTCTCCCTTTAGCTTAAAACAACTATAATGTTTAAAATAGAGCAGTGCCCAGACCTGCATTTCTCGAGGTCTGTTGCTTCTAAATGCTGCAGCATCTGATGCTTCTTTAGGCTTAATGTCATTAGTTTATGTGCTGCTGCTAAATGGTAAAGGAGTATTTTATGGGAGACATTTCTATCAGGAAATAAATGATTTGTATTATGATAAGGGTTTTGCTAAAATAGGAACACCACTTGAACTTGTTTCTAATTGTGGATTTACAACAACAGCAAAAAACATTTCTCTGGAATTGCATGTTTTTCCTACATAATTCTAACAATAACAACAGTTTCTCAAGCTGAACCTTATTTTTGTTCTGTTCAGGTTGCCTCGTTGGGCGTTACTACCTTCACCCTGTGTGCACTCTGCATCGACCGCTTTCGTGCGGCCACCAATGTCCAGATGTATTACGAGATGATCGAGAACTGCACGTCTACAACGGCCAAGCTGGCAGTCATCTGGATCGGCGCCCTCCTCTTGGCCCTCCCAGAGCTCCTGATTCGACAGCTTGTGGTGGAGGACACAGGACTCCCGGATGAGCCCCCAGTTGAGCGCTGCATTATCAGGATATCCACATCTCTTCCTGATATGCTCTATGTGCTTGGCCTGACCTATGAGGGTGCTCGGCTGTGGTGGTGTTTTGGTTGCTACTTTTGCCTCCCGACCCTCTTCACCATCGGTTGCTCACTTGTCACGGCACGCAAGATCCGGCACGCTGAGCAGGCCAGCGTTCGCAGTAATAAGAAGCAGATCAGGCTGGAGAGCCAGATGAACTGCACTGTTGTGGCTCTGGCAATCGTATATGGCGCTTGTGTGGTGCCTGAGAACATATGCAACATAGTGTCTGCATACATGGCGGCAGGTGTTCCTGAGCACACCATGTCCATCCTGCATCTTCTCTCTCAGTTGCTGCTGTTTTGTCGGGCCGCTGTGACACCGGCGCTACTTCTTCTGCTGTGTCGTCCATTAGGCCGGGCGTTCCTGGACTGCTGCTGTTGCTGCTGCTGTAACCACGTACCCTCCTCGGCCACTGGCAGTGATGATAACGAGCACGAGTGCACCACTGAACTGGAGCTGTCGCCGTTCAGCACTATCCGCAGGGAACTGAGTAACTACACCCCTGCTGGCTCCAACTGCTAAGCTGACAGCTCAGATCAGGGAGGGCAATTTTACTGGCCTGTTTGTGGCTTGCGTTGCTTTGGTTGGCTAAGAGAGATTTGCCTTATCTAGTCTCATCACGTTTTGTAAATGAGTGTTGAAATGAGGTTGGACACCAAAAATAAAATTCATCTTGAGCCAATGGCCATGCAATTTTTAACCCGAAACTCTAACCCCAATTCTCCAAGAACAGCTAACAAAAACAAACAATTTTTCAAACTCTATTATGGGCGCCATTTAAACAAAATGACACATTTTCAGCATCCAAAAACTTCTACGACCCCCTGAAAAAATCCTCTAAACAAGAGTTCCCGCCTGTGGGGCATATAGGCCTTAGAGCAAATTTGCTCATGTCCAGTTCTTGAGAGCCATCATCCTCCAACTTGTAGATGCCTCTCCTCACCAACACAGCAGAAGCTAAAGCTAAAACCCCTCAGCATGTTATTGAGCCCTGCATGGTGACGAACCACTCATTTGATTCTGGTCTATTAGAGAAGGGATGAACAGTTGTAGGATGGTAGCTCTTGAGGAGAAGACTTTGGCTCCCCAGACCAAGCGTAAGGAGCTACTCCTAGCCTTTCTGATTCACAGTTTGTCAAACATTTGTTTAAAAACCCTTTAAGACCACAAATTTACTGTAACCCCTGGAAAAAATGTAAAAATTCTTAACAGCATTTCTCTTTTTTTGGAACAGAAGGTTACAAAGACATTTTCCAACAGATCTTTTTAATTGTTTTTTCATAATTTACCTTTATTGTGTTTTATGTTCTCTCTCGCCTCTCCCTTTGTGAAAATGCATATGTGGAACACCATTAACTCTTGATCTTAAGAATGGGAAAAGGTATAAGAAATGACATTTAGTAAAGTTTGAGCAAGTAGAAGTTTTAAATCCAAGACCAAACAAGTTCATGAGAACAAAATAAGAGTATTGATTAATTGAAACCTGCATTTAGTCATTAAGGACATTACTTTAAGAGGTCAAATCTGCACATAAATCTGGCTTAAGTATCATTCTCAGACATCCATTTACAATGATATAACATGGCTCCATAAAAGTAAAGGCAAAAGGGCTTTGTTTGAATATAACAGGGTTATTTCAGTGTACAAACAAAGCATCTTGCTTCATCACCTTCTGAGGTTGGACACAGAGAGTCATTTTAAATTCTTAAATTGTCCTAAGGTGCTAAGGACCTATGAGTCCAGCTATATTACCAAAACAGCTTAACCATTAGTAAGCCAAAGTATCCAGCAGGCAGTGGCTCAACCCAGATGAAGGCTGTTATTGACACTGAATGCAGCACTAATATAAATGGTAACTGAGAGGAAATTCTATTGAAGATGCCTTCTACACTCCTCATTTGAGTAGGCTTAATGATTATCTGGGGAGTTTCAGATTGAGCAGTGACATTAAGCTTGTGTGAGATGCTGCATGTGCATCCATCTTGTCTGAGCTCCTTGTTTGGGCCATGATTGCTGGATCTTTCAACAAACAATGGCACTATTCACAGCATCTTTCTAGCAGAGATCATCCCCATTCTGGACCATCATGCATTTTGCACTCATCTAAACCATGACCTTCCTAAAAATGCTTTCAGTAATTTTACTCAGATTTGTTTCTTGATGTTTATTTTCTTTTCCATCTTAAAGCTCAGTTATAATCTGGTAAAGTTCAGTGTGCAAAAAGCAGATATCTGCAAGTTTTTACCAGCTATACAATTGAAAGGGGTTAAGAATGACGAGTCAAAAGTTTAAAAAAATTTCTTTTTTAAAAAAAAAAGTTTCTGTTTCTGAAAATGTGTCAGCTTGCAAAAACAATCAGTAACATATCTATACAAAGAAACCCTGAAACATTCAGCCTAGGGGCGAAATAATGAATCCTAATCACCTTAAAGTTGTGTCAGCATTTATAGAAAAAGGATAACTTGTGTGCATTTTGTACAAAAACTCAAATACAGCATCCTAATAAAAAGGCCTACACTGCCAATACAAGTACACAACTGTTTACAGACTGAATCAGTACAATTGTACAGTTCCTTAAATATTATGGTGCACATAAGGGAAAAAGGCTTACAATAATTAAAACAGTACAGGCCACCTCAGTGGGTTTTTCTCGTTTTTAGAAAGAGACCATATATCTGTATTCAAGAATTTGGATATACACAGATAAGACAGAGTTTTACAAAAATATCTGGTCGACCCAGAGGAAACTGGAGCTGGTCTCAGGATGCAAAGACAGACAGACATGAAGCTTAAAGGGATTTAAATGATTTTTAAACAGACATTTAATATGATTTTAATCATGCCAAATGGTGTTGATCTAAAATGCAATGAAGTGTGTTGAACACGGAGTAGTTCGTTATAGCATACAAATGAAAGTGATTGACTTGGGACTCTGCCGTGTACTCTTGTATTGTGTTATGCCTTACACTTTGGGGGTTGTATATATGCTGTACAATTTCTTTGGTGCTCTTATGATAAATGCGCTGTGAACAACAATTCAGCATGTTCGACTTAAAACCACAAGTAAGCAAGCTGCATATATTTTTTCAAGTTAAGTTCCAAGATTCCCTCCAAAGTTAATCTATAGCTTCCTTTGTCTCTGTCCAAGGACACTGAACACATGGAGTAGATGCGATATAAAATTTTTGCTACAGAAATTCCAGTAGGAAAATAAGGATATTCAAGTTAAGAAATGTGATTTCTAAAGATGGATAATCTAGGTTCTTTACATTGCAATTTAATAAGTCAAATCAAATTCTGAATATCCAATTGATCATGCCTATAACTCCACTATTTCAGTCGAGTCATGGTTTCTCTGTTTGGGTAGCTAAGGATACTGCCAATTATTTACTGCTAGCTAAGCCCCATTTTTTTTAAATTAGTCCAGACATGCAGCAAAATGAGCAGAACACACATGGTTGGCCAGTGAGAAATCACCTGAAATCATAGACAAAAATGAAAACCATAGTTTGTTTATTTTAATGGTGAGCTCAACACAGCATATTCTGCTTGCGACACTTGTTTGACGTACACATTGGATCAGACAATTAGAGAAACACACAAGAGAAGCTTAAATTTTTATTCACTAAACTAAGATTCATGTTCTTTATTATTTGAGCTTTAAGAGAAACTAATGAAGAGTTTTTCACAGGGCATTTAACAAGTGTCTTGTACTGCAAGTCTTTTTTCTGATATAAAACTAATCATTCCTGGGTCAGCATGAGGGTATGATCACTAGTTTGTTAGAACCCAAAAAAGGACATTTTTAAGGCTATATTGTAAAAACGTGGCATGTGTTGCATTTCAGGAAATGCTATGAACAAACTCGTTACAGTGTCCAACATACACATTTTGATGTTCTTGAACTCCGTGGTGACCCAGGTTTGATATTCATCAGTATACTGTATATTTCAAAGACCTTTTTGCATATGATTCTGCACTGCCAAACACCTTTCCTCTGTCTTTTGTGGTTGTAGCACTCTTTCTCTGGGGGTCTCAGATCAGAAGCCACTTTAATTTTAGCCCCATCAGTTTAAGATGACGATTAATCCTATAAAATAAATTATTAAATGAATCTTCTGCCAGCGTCTGGTCCATATAAATTCCTATAATAAACTTATAGCCTCTTACATGGATGTACCCTCGGGTTGGCACTGGCTGCACTCCATCAAGTTAATTTCCTAAGTGGGCAGGTATGAGCAGCCCTGCAACACAACGCTCTGTAATATGTGCAGCATCTCTTTGTTACAATCACTAAAAGTGCAACTACTGAAGCCTGGTGTATAAATCAATCATTTGTTATTATCAAAGTGAGACAAAATGCACTATTTTGGACTTGAACTTCCTGCGTGACGTTAATGCAGCCTTCTTTGTTGCTTTTTTGTTTAAACTTGTTCATAATTCGATTAGTGCTTACGGATGGGATCAAAATTAAACTGGCTTCTGAACCTGATTGTTATTATTTTGCTTATTTCTGGAAGTATATCTCATAAATGGCTCAGTGTGTAGTAATGTGGTTGAAATTATTGATGAAGTGAACCTTGTTAATCAGTGAGATGTTTTCTCTGAATCTTGTGAGTACCCTCTTCACTCTGAGCTAAATGTGTCTGTGTTTGATACCTAAAAAACATAAGCACACAACCACTGTAGTCTCCAAGTCTAGTCACTTGTTTCTAAATAGCTTTTTATATAGCCAAAAATTGTTCCTTTGTTTATCAAAGAACTTTATCTTGAAAACTGTATATTAAAATCTTAAATGTACTGTGGTGTAGTTTTTGTGTTGTTCAAATAGCAAAATTAAATATGGATGCATTTTTCCCAAACATGAAGAGCCTAGAAATACACAATTCTAATTCAATTCACATTTCTAAGAAAAAATCCTATTTTAGTCATTAAAGGATCTACTAGTGTACGCCAGCTCATTACCCGTTCTACAACTAGACTGTAATCTTGCTTTTACTAACCATTTCATTTTGGGTTTTTTTTTACCTTGAGAGTTTTAAAGAGTGAGAAGAATTAAGAATAGTTATTTTGCTAAACATAACCGGATGGTGGCTTCAGAAGACATTTAAAAGGATCGAGATTGCACCTTTCTTGTTCCTGTTGCAGTTTTGGCTACACTTTCAATGTGTTTTCCATGTTGTTAAATTTCAAAGCTGAATTCAATGCAAATAAAAAAAAATATGGCAGATAGTTTTCACCCAATGATAAAGTAGACAAATATGACATCTTTCTTCTAAGATAACTTATTACAGTAAATAACTTCTTAAAATCCCCCTTCAAAAAATTATTTATTCATGCAATTGATTTAATTCTCAGGACTAGCATGACGGAAATAGTCAAGTGAAGAGTGGGGCGTTAAATGTTCCAAAACATGTTCATAGTTAGCAGTTTAAATAAAGGGACAATGATCCTCTTTTTAGAATAAATTAAAAAGATCTAAATCTAATAAATATAAGCAAAGATCTACACTATTTTTCATTCTTCACATGCTCGCCATAAAAAGGAAAAGAAAAGGCATTATTAAAAACAAATCATGTCTTGATATTAAAAAGTAATTTATATATATAATAGCAATTATTACCTACAACACCATAAACATATCTCAACATTATCTATTAACATAAACTTTAAAAAAGCTGATCAGTTTTAAGACAAAATTAGCCATTTGATTTGGCTACAAACACTGGATTTGGTGAGGCACAAACCACAATAACACAGAAAAAAATCATGTTTGAGAGCATATATGGAAAAGATATATAGAAAAACATACATATAGAAATATGACAGATTTATAAAAAAAAAGGCAGGTAGTACGAAGTGTTTTAATGGAAGAATCCAGCACTGACCAGTAGGAAACCAAAAGGTTGGGTTGTTATATTAAAACCAGGCAAGCTTAATCAGAAGGGTTCAGAACAGGCGTGGGAGAGAGTGAAGCAGTTGGACTGAGGAAAACTAATTGATTTAGATAAGACGGAACAGGCTGAACTAAAACTCAAAAAGTTTAACCAATCAAAAAGAGAAAGAGCCTAATATAAAAGTGAGATAAACTAAATGTGCGGAGGAAAAAATTAGATACAGCTGGAAACTAGCTCAATTTTAAAGACTTTTAAACAATATATGAAAACAAAACAAAAGTATATATCAAAACCTTACTCTAAAGAACAATCCCAGATACAGTCAGAACACAATGAAAGTGAAAACAAAATCATCATGACAACAAGATTAACAACTACTTGGCTTTGACTGACTTGGGTTTAAGCTCCAAACTGAAATTATGCATCACATTTTATCAACTATAAGATACAACAATATTTTCTACAAAAGGTTTATTTACAAAAGCTCTGTAAATGTACCTGCTATCTTCTCACTACTGATTTGTTAATGTCATCTGTCTTGAAAACTGCCACTAAAAATTATTTGGTTAAGCTGGCATATTTACTGAAGTTTATTAATGTGCATTGTCATGCACAAAAATTAGGATAACATAAAAAAAAAATATTTGAATGAGTATTCGATAGGTAGAAGAAACATTAATTTGCAAAGCAACCAGGGTAAAAATCTTTTAACCTATATCAAGAGTAGGCAATGTATGTCTTTGTAAATCTAAAGCACTTCCACTGATCACCAGCTGGTTGTTGTATATTCAATTGATCTGCAAACGTATGAATTCAGTAAATAACATTTACCTGGAGAGAATCATGCAGAAAGTTAAAAAATATTGAATTTATTTATACAGGTAACAGAATCATATTTCTCAAACTATGTCTAAGGAAAACCAGCTGATTGCATCGACTTACTGACTCTGCAATCCGTCGCACTGAGCATGCTTGTAGCGACAGTGGAGAGAAAAACTCTCTTAACAGGAAGAAACCTCCAGCAGAACAAGGCGCAGTGTGAGTGGCCATCTGCAGAGGTAGACTGTGGTTCAAGGTGACAGAAGCAGATTAAAACATAAACAAAATAAGTTCTTTGGTGCTCAGGCCTCGGCAGAAGACTTCAATGTTCTGAATCAACATACGCTTTGATGAGTAACCTAGAAAAGGATTAGTTTTCCTCCCAGCCCCGGACACTGGTGGTTGAACAAGCCAGAGGGTGAGTGGGACTGAGAATGTTGGAGGAGATGGGATGGAGGTGGGTTGAAATATGCTTGCATGTGGGAGTGAGAAGCTGGGCCAGGAGCTAAATGAAGGGGATCTTGCAAGATGATTAGCTTTGGAGTAGATGTGGCCATGAGTTAATTGGCTGGAGCTTAATGAGGGATATCGCAGGTGGTGCAGGTGAAGCTGATAGGAGTCTTCGAGATTGATAAATATGTGAAAAAGAAAAAATGTGAAAAATAATTAAGCTTCATTTAAACAATAAAGTTTAGTTCAGAACAACAAGTCTTCCTTTAGACTGTGAAGGTCAATGTTCATGTATTTTCTGTTAAAACCTGCAAAGTCTTTACTCAGGGAAGTAGCTAAATATAGGTTGGAGTAATTTACATCAAAATTGTGATGAGTCTTGAGTAAGGAAGGAAAAAGTTTGCAAAAAGCAAATGAAGAAAAGTTGTTTTTTATTGAAAAAGGAATGATTGGATCAATGATATATGGATTATTGCTGGGCAGATTCAGCTTTTACATCTGTCCATTTCTTGAGGGACTCACTTCTATATATACATTGATTGTTTTTTCTAGTTGCTACCAACATCCCCTAAAATACGCAGCCATGTATGCAAAACTGAGGGCTGCCATTCTCCCTCAGAAAAAAAAATAATGACCATTTTATTAAGACACTTGCTATTAACTTAAGAGTGATGCAATGACTCAAAAATTACATTCTGAAATGAACCAATTAAAGATGCAAATGAACATTGGTTGACAGAAGTCTAATTAGGCTTATAAGTAATTCAGTAATTGAGGTGTTAATCTAACAAGCAAAATAATAAAACTGCACAAGAGATGGTTAGAAATGTATATTAATTCACATCTTTACACAACTGTTGAGGGTGAGTCTGCCTTTGAGGCTAAAAGCTAAAGAAATGGCTCATCCAGTCAGATCACGTTCATTGATGGCTTTTACCATTTTTATTATTTTCCCTCCAAAATTTCAGTAGTTTATGAGTGACCTATTTCATTATCTTTTGAACCTGTATTACTTTTACATTGCACCGTAACTAGGACATTAACTTATACATATTTACAAAGCAAACCAAGGCAGGAGGCAGTGTGCCAACAGTGATCCGTTTCTTTCTTATAAGATGCATTTCTATTAACACTTGAATTGCACTAATTATAATTAAGAAATACATTTGCTGAATGGAAACACTGCAATTTTGAAAAAACTAATGTTTGCTCATTTGCGCATGTCCAAGCAGATATCCTAAATAAGTACTCAAGTACTTATTGCTATCCATTAATCCTTAGATCAATAGAGAATGCTACACTTTAGCTCTAAAAAAAATTATGACTTCTGAGACAGTTTCATGCTTTACACATTTTCTCTGTTAAACTGCTTGTCTGACGTCATCATCGGACATGCTCAGAGTAGTCCGCTAAATTATGATTAAACCAAGTTTATCTGCATTTTAGTTGTTTCTTTTTTTAGATTACACACCATCTCTCCATAAGGTTACCATGAAGGGAAAAAAAACCCAAAAGGACTAGATTTATGTTTAAATACAAAGCCAAAAAAGTTAGCTCTCGGAAGTAGCAGAGGATCCCATTTCTGGTGCAGATGAGTAATAAAAAAGAAAGGATTTTAAGGAGTTTATTTTCTTAGGAAAAACATTGTTAACCTTTAACACTTAATACAGTTACTTACTATAGTTTAGTATGCTTACTATTTTTAGGGAGCAAAACGCATAATTTATGTACTTTTTTAAAATAAAATCGAGGGTAACCCGGATGTAGATCTGGTTGCTAAAGCGCAAATGAGCTGATGGTACGGATCGTGCTAGCGGTACGGATTGGGTAGTGACAGGCTGAAATATGAACATATCTCACATTTACATCTGTTGCTGCCATTTTTTTTCCCAGAGTTATCCCGTGAAGAAATGTATTTGCATGCAATTTTTACTACATTTGGTATTTAATGGAAGTACCATAAGTGCAAAACTTTGCATGTTCAAATTAAGCATAATATTGACATATTTTTTAACAAATTTATTATGGAAACGCAGCTATAGATAGCCGCATGTTGAAATTATATCACTTTAACAGGAATAAAAGGGAACCAGGGTGATGGCAACAGATCGACCAAAAAAAAAAAAACTTTTAAAGAGCTAATATGGAAGGAATCTACATGGAAGGATGGGGGGTACAATCAACAGAAAAGCAGAATAACTGCAAATATGACATTTTTATTGCATTGTATTTTATTTAACGCCTCTACTTCCTGGGAATAAGGCCCCATCCACACAATGACAAAATGACAATGCAAAAATGCTTTTCAAAACCATGTGTCATCCACACAAAGCCAGCATGTCGTGGTTCTAAAAACAAACACTCTTACAGTATAACTAGGTTCCCCTGTGACAATATTTGGTTGTGCTGATGCCCAACTCCCTTCGCAGCATGTGTCTGTCATTGCTTCATAGCACCACAAACAGGTCTGGCATACAGTAGATTTGCAGCGTTTTCAACCGTATTGACTACATTCATCCGGAAGCGCACAGTTACCAAGCTGGCTTTATGCTTACAGATATAGCATAATTCTCTACATCTGGTTAGCTTTTTTTTAAGCTGGAGTGATACAATAGCAGAAAACAATCT